ATACTTTGATTTCTTTAATTTGACACAGCAACTCCCATCGTCTTTGCAACTTTTATAAACTTAAAATTGTGAGCTCTTAAATCAACTTAGAATGGTACCCAAAGAAAATTAATGAACATAAATGCTCTACCAACTAGCTTTCAGGAAAAGAAATTGGATTTTTTGTTGTTGTTGTTGTTGTTGAGTACATACTTAGTCAAATACAAAACTCCAAAATATCTTCTGCTTTAGTTGAGACACTTCATCATGTTTCATAGGATTAAACAGTTTGCTTTCAGCATTAATCATGCTGTCTGAATATGTCATGTATTTCTTGTAACTCTAATGGTCTTCAAAGCCGAATCAACCCTGACGTAAATGAGAGTTCTTAGTGGATAGTCAGGGTCTGGGTCATCCACAGATGCTGCCAGAAGAATGAAGCATGTTGTGAACAGGCCAACACTTGTAGATTTTCAGGGGTAGACTCCTGGGAATAACTTAATCAAAATCACTTGTTTTGTAAACGGAACAAAGCAAAACAAAAAGTTGGTGTCGAAATATCATTACTTTCTCATAAACATGCCATGTGAATCAATGAAATCTCCATAAATCAAAATTAAAATGTTTTAAGCATGGCAATGCTGTAGCCTAATACAATAGACAAATTCACCTTCTTATTTCACCAAGCACTTCTTAGGGCATGTGCTTTGCAAGAATTGAATGCTAGACTGTTGGGAAGTCTCTTAACCTATATAAGCAACATTCCCTACAGTTGTCTCCTAACCTGTAAATAGTGGTCCCTACATGGATAAGATCATGTTACTAGACTAGAAAAAGAAAAGAAAAAGAAAAAAAAATAGAGTATTGCCGGGAGTTACAACAGAAATGAGAAAATTTCTCTTGGGAAAAATTACATAAGAGATTTCTCTTAGACATAAAAAAGTATTGTGACTTTGATATTATATAAATAAAATCTTGGGACTTGAAATATGAATGTTTTAAACCTCAAATGAAAGCTACAAACACAGCATGAAGGCCGGACTTTTAACTAGGAAAAGTATGAATCACTATAAAAATTTGATTTTTAAGCGTGTCTTTACAGTATTTTTTTGACGTTTATTATCTTCCAACTTCTGATAAGAAATAGCTTTGTTGGTTTTATTTGCTTCTAGTATCTGGGGGGGGGTCAAGGAATGTGAGGCTCAAGCAGCGTTTTAATAAAAGCATATTTATTAAGGTAAAGTGAAAAGAAATGAGAGAAACAGTGGGAAGGACTCCAGGAGAGGCAGATCCTCCAGCTCCTTTTGAAACTAGGTCTATCTGATACTCATTTCAAAGAACTGGAGTGTTGTTGAGTTAAGACTGAATTAACTCTTGGATAGACATTTCTGACTAGTTAAGAACACTGAAGATATTTAAGGCATAGTAGAAGCTACCCTGGAAGTCGAGAAGTGATGGCCTGGCTTTGCTTTCTACAGATGTGTTAAGCAGAGCAAGGAGATGTCTGAGCTCATGTTAAAGTACTGGCATGTGATTGGAGGATGTGGACGAACAAATGGCTGAATGCTTGGCAACCAACGTGACATGAACCGAAGCACCAAACAAACCGTGGGAGGTGCTGGGGAAGGGTGTACTCGGTGTTCTGAGTAACTTGGTGCACTCTCTGGACGTAACAAGATCATCAGTTGAAAACAGTGTCGTTCTGTTCAGTTGACTTTCCATCTGGTAGGTGTTTTGCCTTCAACCCTCAACCATGCCTGACTCACCACCGTTAGTGTTTCTCTCTTGGTAGTTACTATTTGATGGATATTTACTCAGTGGTACTCCATCAGGCATTCATCCGCATCAAAAATGAGGAAGGAGGATGAGAGCCGATGCCCATGAACTGGTTTAATGCATTACGGCGCGGGTTAGTAGCTATTCTGAAGGTAAAGGAATACATACAAGGCCTCATTCCTCATTTCTGAACAACCCCTGCAGTTTTCTCCAGAATTCCTGGGGAAAGAATAGGGATTCCCCAACACAGCTGATAGATCGGATTGTTCTAACTCTGCCTGAAGACTGTGCTCCTTCAGGTTGGATTCCTTTGACCACAAATTCTTACATAATGACACAAATATTGATAGAAAAATTGTTGTGTCATATTGCCTCAGGAAGGAAGATTATTTTAGCAGTTTGAACATGTCTCTCTGCCCTCGTTCTATACTGAACACTTAATCCCCAGTGCAACAGACTGAGATATTGGGGTTTTAAGAGCTGATTACATTATGGGGGCCTGTGTCTCACACAGGGACAGTGCTGTTATCACAGAAAGGCCGATGCAGCTGAGGTGGTTACCTTGGGAAGGGTGAGGTCAGAGTGGTCTCTATTTCTGCCTCTTACATTTTCTCTCTGTCTTCCTCTTCCTCCTCCTCCTTTTCTTCTTCTTAGCTCTTCTCCTCCTTCTTTCCTCATCTTATCCCCCACCTCTTATCCTTTTTCTTTTCCTTCTTCTCTCCCTCCCCCCTCCTCCTCCTTCCTTTTCCTTCCAGAATGCTATCGGGCAGCAAGAAGACCCTGAGCAGGTGCAGCCCCTCAATCTTGGATGAGGAAACATGCATAATTAGAAGCCAAATACATTTCAGTTATTATTAATTATGATTCTGTAGTATTTTGTTACAGTAGCATAGTATGATGACTTGACCTTGTTACATTAAGTTTGTCTTTCCCATCCCTGTTCTTTATTAGAAAGATGGTTTAGCATCACAGCCAGAATCATAGAAAATCATGTGTATTTTATAAAATTATGGTTTCATTATTTGAGCATTTCAGTTATTACTGAGAGTAAAACAAACAAACAAACAAACAACAACAACAACAACAAAAACACCATTAGTGTCGGAAATATCTGCAGGAGGCTTTCCATTGAAATTTCCAGTTTAAAATGTGTCCCTTTCTTGTCTCATTTCTATTACCTGTAATGAACATGAGAATACTATCGATGCTTATCTTTAAGCCCAAGGAGCCCCTCAATGCACCATGCGTTCCAGAGGAAGTTGTTTTTAACCACAAAAGCCTTAGAAAGGGGAAAGAAAAGTAAAGATTACACAAACGAAGATGTGTGGAGGGCAGCAAATACTTGTGTGGTTTTGTTTTCTCGATAGGGGCCATGAGTGTGCCGTGAAGGCTGGGCTGGTGGACATTTCCTGCTGATTGGCCTCAAGTGCCACCTGGGTTGCAGGGATGGAGGCAGGGGAGTTCAAGGGCAACTTAGCTCTGCCATTCCGTAATGTTTTTGGAAAAGCAGGAGACTGCTGCATATCTTGGGATATTCCAGGTGCCACAGTCCTCTTGCTGGTAGAGGGGCTACTTGAAAATGCTGTCAGGATTATTAGGCCAGCGTGATTCTGAAACAAGGATTTGTGAGACCCCAGTAGTTGACACTGCAAAACTGGTTTGGTCTCTTTGACACATTGAGTCCTGTTTACTTAGGGTGTCAGAGGCAGGAAGCAAAAGGGAAAATGAACAAAAACAGGCATTTGACCCTCATCTCATTTCTAGTGCTTTCTCTCATAAAGTTCACTTGATTTGAAGAACTCTTAGTGTGAGTGTAACCTTTTCGTTCCCCGACTCAAAACTGCCTGAACAAATGCCTTACCACTCTCACCTAACTGGAATGGTACTTTGAGAACAATACCAACAGCATTTTGTGATGGTAAAGTGTCACGCTTGTATCTGTGGTATGTGTTTTGGAAAGATGATCTGTATCACAGTGCTTAAAAGCAGCACTGAAAGTGAAAATCACCAAGAACCAATTGTGAGGTCACTGTATATTCCCCCTTGGATAGCTGTGTACCTTGAGAGCTTATGTGAACTATGACTATTTTTATCTAGAGCTATCTGCTCCCTTCACAGACTCAATTGCACATGTAACTGTAAATTTAGTACATGTAAACTTAGTAGTTTAAGCCTACAGCTCTGCACTGCCCTGTTAGGTTGAATGTGACACTCATGTTATATTGCATTCACTCCTGAGCTACTGTCTACACCTTCTTCTTGGGTCAGTTAAATTTTGCCTTCCTGCCCATTAAAGTAACTTGAACAACACCCTCACCCCCAAGATTTTCATGTCCTATGAGTGTGATTTCACATGACAAAAAGGTTTCAACGATGTATGAAGCTTATTGAGATAAAATGTGTATTCTAGATTATCTAGTAGGGTTCTAAGAACTTGCAGAAGTTTTTATGAGAGACCAGAAGAGAGAGGAAATGAGAGATGACTATTGAATATACACCTATCCCAGAGCCTTTCTCTCTCCCCAATGTGTGGTAATTGTCTTCTGAAGTACGAGTGTAAAACCAGCTGGTACCTCTCCTGGTTCCTGTGGCTGCTTAGTATATATATTATGGTGGGATGTTAAGGAAAACTGAATTGCAAATAAGGTTCTTCTGAACCCAAGAATACTGGGGAAAGTCTACAGGATTAGAGCAACAGTGAGATGGTATATTAACAGATCATCGTAGAACTGTAAGTTTGCCAGGTAAAGAACACTTACTGGCAAGAATGTGAGAACAAAGCTGTTTTTAATAGTTCTTTTTTTTTAAATATAAACATTCTCTAAGAACCAATTAATAGAAAGATGGTCTCTCATAATTTCTTGAAAGTATCAACATATTAGCATTATGTATTCATTCTAATTTTTCTGTTATTTTCATGATAAAATAGAGTATAGATCTTAAAATTAAATCAGATTTTTATTTAGATGCTTATTTTAAAGGCAACTTAGTAATGCTTTAGTCCCATTAATTTTTTTTTTTTTTACAAAGCTAACTAGAACATTAAAACTAAAACGTAATTGTGAGGCAATGCAAATTGAGTAAACATGCAAACATTCGACACCTGGCATACAGCCCAGGACGCCAAACAAATGCAGCCCTTAGACGAAACCTTCCTGCCAAAAATCTGAAGATGTTCTCTTATACGTGACCTGTCGGCACTATTTTGGCTCCATTGCGAAGAAATGGCTTCACTTTATGGCAAATTGGTTCTATGCATTTATTTAAGTCTTGAAGAATAACATACTCCGAAGATCGCAGTTACGTTAAAAGTAGACAAAAGTCCAGTCCCCCATGTGACACTTTGCAGACTCAGGCAGTTAGCACCTGGCTCTCCAGTAGTTTCCTGACTACTTTCTTGTATAAGGGTGCTTGCCTATCCAGGCAAAATTTCATCCCATTCTTCAAGGTGGCTCTGTCCAGGGAAGAGGTAAGAAACATACTTTTCAGAGCCTTGGTTGGAAGAAGGGAAGAGACGGGAAGGAAGGGCGGAGGAGGAGAGGACGGGCCTGGAAGGTGTGGGCAGGACTCACATGAGCTGGGGAACCGCGCAGTGGCGTCCTGCCTTGATCACCTCCAGGCTGGTGATGTGCTTGGGATGGACCCCAGAGGAGACGGTCTTCACACACATGCAGTTAAGACGTCCATCGCTTCCTTCAGGACTAGCTGAGGGCAAAGGGGGAGGATAGACGAAGGGGAGTAGAGGAGGTTTTGGTGACCGGATCATCGGCCAGGTGGTGCCTCCGTACCATTTCCACGGGCTTGGTTATAGCATCACCTTCCCACTCAGAAGGAGGATGAAGCACAGTTGGCAGGCCTATACCGTATGTCTTGTGTCATCACAGATCACCTCCCCACCCCTGACACTCTGGGCTGTCTCCCTGCCCCTAGGATCCCTTCACCCTCTCTCACCGCTGGTGACGGCAACCACGGCTGGCAGAAACAACAGGCCCAGAAGCAGCAGCTCAGGGCTGGGCCGGAGACCTCGAAACACCGCAGCAGCACTCATGTCAAGAGGATGCCACTAGGTCCAAGGACTAGCGCAGGGAAACTGGGGCCTGGGGCTCTAAGTGCAGGCCAGTGGCTCCTGGAACCTTCCAGGCACTTTTTATCTTCACTGCCAGCCCAGCCCGGAAACCTGGGATACAGGATGAGGAACTACTCTGCGGAAGCAATGGCATTTGGGGAACAGTAATTGGGCTCTGGCCAGCCAAGATTAAAAAGAAAAACAGCAGAAAAAAAAAAAAAAAAAAAGCTGAGGTCAGCTCTCTTGACTAGCAGCTGGAAGCAGATCACATCCTCAGTGTGAATTTATAGGAACCGTTACAGAGTTAGAAAGAGCAGGACTTGAATTTGGCAAAAGGTATGCTGGGTGTGACAGAGAAACTTTTGCCGTCACCATACGGTTTACAGAACATATGCACCTTCAGGACCGATGTGTTGCCTTCCCAGCTTCCGGTTGCATTATCCCAAACTGCCCCTTCTCCTCTGCCTTTCCTGCTGTCACTCTTCCTGCTGATTACTAGTGAGTCTGACTGCTGTGTGGTTAGAGATGGGGGTTGGAAAATTATTTTCTGCCACTAAAAAGGTTAAACCTAGTGTCTAGGCAGTGACCTCTGAATTCCATCCTCATGTGGAAGCATTCCCTCGTTTCTTGGGTGAAATTCCCGAGAATCTCCTAACTCCTGTCCAGTCTACTGCAGGAAGTGGGGTCGGTTGTCATTACTCTCTAGGAAAAACAGCAAAGTTAAACTTGAATGCACTGCCCTGATAACATCTTTGAGCCTAGCTATTTCTCTAGCCAACTCTACTCTAGATAATACTGGATAAGAGAGTTTCCGGGGACAGTTGGAGATCTCTGTATTAATTTATGCCTCATATAATTATGCGGCCCTTTATCTGCCCCACCCCCATAGTGATATTGTCAAGCATAATTCCCTGGGACATATGTTTCTGAACACTCAGCATCAACTGCAATGGCGGCTGCAAGACACGCCATAAGCCCTCTGTGGTTAGGGAACTGAAACCCAAGGCCTGTGCCAGGTCAGCAAAAAAAGGAATGGATAAGGGGGTTTGAATCTGTACCGCCTTAGCCAAAGATTTCAGCAATAACGTCAGACAAGCCTTTCTCGACACTTAAAGGAAAGAATCCAGATGAGCGACACAACGGTAAAAGATAAAGTCCTCTCGAGAAGAATAAGAGAATAAGCATAGTGCAGACAGTGCTACGTGGAGAACCAGCCTTGCTGGCTCTCGTTGGGAGACCGTCTCAGAGAGGCATGAGACGCCACAGATGTTCTAAATAATTGGAGCAACGCTAGCAAAAATTATGCCACTTTCTGTTCACTGCTCTGGCACATGTTTGCGGGCACTGGTGTAATTGTTACTGAGTGTTCATTTTACAGATGGGATGTCCTAGGGCCTGAGCCTCTGGTGGTGAAGAGACAGGACAGGAAGCCAACCACCATGCGGAGCTTGAGTGAACTACGAGCTTAGCCTGTAAGTGTGCCCCAAAGTCTCTTCCTCCCTTATTCCTGATGATTCTTCTTTGTAGTAGGAGAGTCTATATCTTGTGTGCCAATTTAACATGATATGATATGTTATGTCGTCTTCTTAGAGAAGAAGGAATCCATGAAAGTGTCGTGCTCTGGTGGTTAAAGACTAGGATTTCAAATATGTACTCTGATCATTTTAATTTCAAAGGCAGGTTTCTTTTGACTCTGTGGGGAATTGAACCCAGGATCTCTCACTTGCTGAGCACCCACTCTACCACAGAGCTACATATCCAACCCAAGGCAAGTCTCATGATTTCTTAAACTTCAAGTTTCCTCCCTTTCTGTAACATGGGGAAGGCAGCAGTTTTGATAATAGCAAATTCCTGTCATTTTTATGTGGGTTATCATGTGACACACAGTATTTAAAGCATTTTAAATTCGGTTCTTTTAATTCTCACATCAGCTCTATTAAACAAGCAAGAGACCATTCCCATTTTAAAAAGCAAGAAACTAAGTCACAGAGCAACCTGACCAAAATGAAACCACTATTATGTGGCTCTAGAGAATGGACTTAAACCAGATTAACAGGGACCTGGTAAGATTAGTTAATTAATATATGTGGGACACTTAATATGCCTAGCATTTTTAAAGTGATAGCTTCTTGCTAGTCTATGACATTAAAATGTCACAGATCATCAGCTTAATGACTTTACCTGACTATAATGTGAAATAACAAATTTTTTGGGCCTATGACTGTGGCCCAGTGGCAGAAGACTTGCTTTATATACATAATGCCCCAAGTTCAGTCTAAGAGAGAGAAAAAGAAGGAATATAGTGGAGCATTAAACAACAGATAAGACCTATCACATTTCCCTGTTGTAGACAATACTGACATTTTTATAAACAGAGTGTGTTAATCCCTTTTTTGTTTCACATTTTTGGTGCTACTGATGTTCATTATAAAGAACAACCACGACTTACAGAACTTAGAGCCTATGACTTTATTATGTTCAGTTTGAAGGTTAAAACAAATGTTAGAAAACATTGCTTGGAAACAGGCTTTGTAGGGCTAAGGAGACTGTAAAAACTCAGGAATCTACTAAGCAAATATACCTTACTTGGCTCCAGACAATTTCTATTTTCACTGACCACTGTGAAATTTGTCAATATATATGCACATACATAAATGTATATGACAGTGTTTAATGAAAAAAGCAGCCATGGATTTGAGAGCAAGCAAGGAAAGGTATACTGAAGGGCTTGGAGGGAAGAGAGGAAAGGGCAAAGTGGTGCCATTATAATCTCAAAACTAAAAGAAATACTTCAAAACACAGAAAGAAAAACTTAACACAATGTGTCGGGAAAGAAAGCTTCAAATAAAAAATGCAAAATATAGCACAATGTTTAGCCAAGAATTGCAGAAATAAGCCATAAATTACAACTTAGTGTGTTCATTTTAATCTTCTTTGTGCCATTCTTCAAAACACCTTCTTAAAATACACTGTGATTTCTGAGAAAGAATGAAAGTGTATCCCAATTCCAGAATGGAAAATGACTCTAGAAAGTCCGGAGTTCAAAAACTTCACCGCTCCTCCCCCATGAAATGGTTTGGCAGGAAGCTGACATTTGCAGCAGCTGGTCAATAGCCTTCCAATATTTTCATGACCAGTTTCCTGACGGCAGGAGCGTCTGGGTCCAGGCAGGTTTTCCTCCCATCCTTCAGCGTGGCTCTGCAACGGAGAAAACGATTATCTGTGTAGAACAGCCTCTCCGTCAGAACCTGTCCGTGAAGCGGGAGGGAAGCAAGTAGGTGAACAGGAAGGGTTCCCTAATGGCAAGGACAGAACAAAGAATCGGGGACTTACATCACTTCCATGTTGGCACAATGAGCTCCTGGCTTGAGCACATTCACGGAGGCGATACTGCGGAGTGGGATTCCAGAGACTACACTGGGACATCTGCAGCGCAACTCAACATACGGTTCCACGTCATCCACTACGTTGGAGCACAAGATTTAATTCGAGATTATACATTATTTTGCTCCCTTTCCTAACCTGTAAAGGCCGTTGTCCCTCTTTCACACAATGTGACAACGACCTGTAAACTTTTAATGGCATGTGTCTTCCGCATACGAAATGCCCATAAGTATATATTAGAATCTTAGCGCATCCTCCAAACGCAGAACCACTGACGCAGTCCCTATGCGCACAGCCCCAGGCCCCCACCCCCACTCCCACCACAAGCCTCTTGGACACAAGCAGCCTTCCGCATTCATCTTTACCTAAATTTCCCTTACGTTGTCCTGTGGTCATGGGAGCCAGGGCGACCAGGAGCAGCGCCAGCAGCACCAGCACCCTTGGGTTGTGAAGTGGGCTGGCCTTGATGGAGGAGGGCGTAGGTCTGGGTCTGAAGCCCATGGTGGAGAGGAGTGAGCTAGAACTGTGTCCTGAACCAGGAGACTCGATGAGAGGACGAGCTGCTGCCTACAGCACCACTGCTACGTGCCTTTATATGCTTCCTGACCTCTTTTTTTTTTTTAATACCACTGAAAGAGGTGGGGAAGTGAGTACGTGTGGTTATGTAACCATAAAAGGGTGGTCAAGTTGCACCCAGCCCACACAGACCAGACGGGTTAAAAACCCTGCAGAATTCGCTGCAACTTGTGTGTCATTTCACTCACATTCCTACTGTCACTCTCAACCTCTGACTCTCACAGATGTGTAAGCACCCAACTTAGAGGTAAGACCCAGGACAAAAAAAACACTAAGCGTTTTCTCTGTGTGAGCAGGTAGCCATGGCCACGCCTTTCCTACAATGCAGTTTTGGGGCTTAATAGACACCGGGCATACTTTCAGTCCCACGCACGTGGTCTTTGAGAAGAGCTGCCCTTCTCTTACCAAATAAAAAAAGAAAGGTCCTGTGCTGGCTCTTAATAGGTGTCAGAATTGTGGGGTGAAACTAGGAGGCACTTGCTATAAAGGAGTCACTTTGGGCATGAGTTTATGGGCGTCTATCTGCCTTCTGAGTATATTACCATTTTAAAACGTCATCCAATAAGCCCATTCTCCTTTACATAATAAGCTACTTGTTACTACTGTACGGGTGTACATGAATATCAAGATCAACATATTTGTTGTTTCTTATTTTTAACAAAATATTCATACATTACAGAAATATGAAAATTAAATATGTTCTTTCTTCTTCATAGTTACTCTCTAATACTGCTTTTCAATGGTAGCCTTCAGTAGCTACCATTGCTAAATAGAAATTCGGTGTTTCTATTCTATCTGCATTTATGTGTAAACGTATATAGCCATGGAGACACACATTAAACGCATATACATGGAAACATCTCTCTCCACAAAGGAATGATTCTATAAGGGTCATTACATCATGTGCTCATCTTCTAAAACTCTGGGTAAAATATGAAGGATTTTAACATTATTCATAATCTTTCATTTTCTGGCCACCACAAACAATATTTATTGGTTTCACTGTACTTTTTTCTCCATATTTAATGCTATTAAACTTCTTTCCATGTTCAATTGGGAAGAGTTCTCTCATTCTTTGAGAGGATCTATATGACATATCTTCTTAGGTACAAGGGGCAGTTGCTCAGTGTAGACCAAGCTGGCCTCAGACTCACTATAGAGGAATGGTTTTCAACCATGGGTTGTGACCTTTTGAGAGTCAAGTGATCCTTTCACAGGGGTCACATATCAGATATTCTGCATATTACAAACTACATTACTATTCATAATTAATTACAAAATTACAGTTATGAAGGAGCAATAAAAATAATTTTATGGTTGGGGGTCACCACAACATGAAGAACTTTATTAAAGGTTCACAGAATTAGGAAGGCTGCTATGTAGCCTAGGATGGCCTTGAGGTCATAATCCTTTTCCTTCAGCCCAACACCCCCAAGTGCTAAGATTGCAGGCATGTGCCATGATGACCTTTTTTACGTCAATTAATGAATGTATCTTCTCACAAAAAAGACATTATCAGCAAAGTTTATGAGGACATATCAACAAATTGTCATGCAAATTTTACAAGCCTTATTCATCAGCCTCGACACAAAACATCTATTTTGTAGTTTCGGTTTATTCAAGAAATATTAAACAACTATTATGTGCCAGACATTACAAAGTTCTTGTGTGATTGTTCATTTAACGTTTACTTTCTCAGGAAAGAACTAAAATATTTGCCCAAAGCATTGGGATTAAAATAATACTCTATATTCACTGCTAGGACTATTACTGTTAATTGCTATGCCTAATGGTGATTCATTGTGACAATGTATAAAAAATATTTTATGACAGCTTTTCAATTAAAAGCAGCTAGTTTATATAAAATTATAATTTTTATAAATACTAAAAAAAGTAGCAGATAGCAGAGACTTTTAGGTTTAAAATAACTTTATACCCTTTGTAAGTTTGTCTTTCATTGTCACCCTCAGTTTTTAAAATGTGTGGTAAGTTATTTTATCTATTTTCCCCCATGAGCTACCTTATAAATAGCAATCACTCAGGAAACAAACAAGTTTCTATGGCCCAAAATAAAGTCTATCTGTTAGCTATTTTTTTATGGATACTGGAAGACCATTTACTCATTAAAATAAAGACACATTAGATCCTCTCTGCACAGAGTATTTTGAAGTTCTCTCTCTCTCTCTCTCTCTCTCTCTCTCTCGTAGCTCTTCTAAGTATTGAGTAAATAACAGTTGGCACAGAAGATACTAAGGTTAGTAAAATTTTCCATTTGCTAAAGTTCCCTAACTCTTTGAAATATGAGGCAGCAAAAGACGTTCTGTGAGAGCTGGAAAGAAAGTGCTCTCTGTTTAATGTGGCGTTGACAGAAACTGTGGGGATGTCAAAGAAAACTGACACACAATAACCGGTTCTCCTTTGTGCCCAGAGGGAAGTACAGATGAAGAGGGGTGTGTGCAGGGAGAAGAATCTTTCCAGACACTGCTACCCATCAGCACTGCTATGTCTTCTAGGTCTAAGAAAATTTATTTTTAATAGTGGCATTTAGTAACAAACAACTCAAATAAAAAACAAATAATGCGTCTGTTGAGCATCGAGCGCATGAACATGACTCACTTGTACGGCATGGTCATTGTTGGAGGACATTGCAACCTAAGATTATTTCAGAACCTGAAATCCTACCATTACTCAGTAGTAATTTTCTTTTTCGCTGTATGCCAAGTCCAATCTTAATTTAGTGGCTTGAAATAATTCTTCTTTCTTTGAAGGTTGTTGTTGATGATGATGATGATGATGATGATGATGATGATGATGATGATGATGATGATTGGAGAGCTGCTTGTTTGTCAGGGTGCTTTGTTACTGAGTTTTCAGCAAAAAATATGTTCTCACCCTGGCCTTCACCTTGAGACAGAGATAAGCAGGATGTTTTTCCAAGCTCCTTCAACCTGTTTGAGTGAGGATAACACAGAGAAGTGGTCGAGGTAAACAACTTTGACCTCTCAATGAACCCCTTCATTGTATTGAGGCAGTTTGACTAAAGACAAGAAATTGTTGAATAAACCAGGTGTGGCAGTTTTTACTGACAGCCCTCTTGAGCTGATCCCGTGTGTTGTGTGTGTGTGTGTGTGTGGTTTTTTTTTTTTTTTTTTTTTTTTTGTAATTTTCTTTCCAATCCTTGCTCCCCACTCAGGAACTGTTTGACTCTGCCAGCAGGTCCCCGCAAATATTATTATTATTGCATTTGAATATTTGGTGTCCTCTCCTTTGTGCTTTGTTTTTAGTAGTAGCAGGTCTGGTTAACCAGCCACAGACATAACTGAAAACTCAAAATGGCCACCTCTGCTTAGGAGCTGGCTGGTGCTGGCTGCTGGCTGCTACCATGATCCTCTCTTTCTTCCCTTCCCCTCTCTCTCCTCTCTGCCCCTCTCCTCTCAAGAAAATCATAGTCTTGTGCTTGTGGGATTGTTCTATGGATAAAAGTGCTTACACCAAAGTCTGATAACTCATATTTGATTCCTAGAACCCACGTAGCAGAGGGAAGTATCAACCCTCACAAGTTGTTCATGTTCTTTGGGACATGTGTGCCTCTTCCCAGAATGAATAAATGTGTGAAAGAAAGAAAGAAAGAAAGAAAGAAAGAAAGAAAGAAAGAAAGAAAGAGAGAGAAGGAGGGAGGGAGAGAAGGAAGGAGGGAAGGAGAAAAGGAGGGAGGGAGGGAGGGAAGGAAGGAAGGAAGAAAGGAAGGAAGGAAGGAAGGAAGGAAGGAAGGAAGGAAGGAAGGAAACCATTGCTCCATGGGAAAGCACTGTGTTTTCTAGAAAAAGATCAAGAGTCTGAATACTTCATCATAAGCTTCCTCAAGCCACCAGGATCCTGCCCAATGTCTGGTCTGCTATGTAATGGCATTTAACTGACAAATGGTTATAGACAGAACAATTGGCTATACATTTGATATTCAGAACTAGACTTGAAAGGCACTGGCTCTGGTTGTGTACTATACCACTAGCTGTAAAGAGGAAATAGCCAGACCCTTCAGAGAAGTGAATCAACTGTTTCTTTTTCTCCAGCCAGCAAGGAAATCAAACAAGTATTGCTATGCATTTGAGAAACATCCATTAGGATGCTTTTCCACAGTGGGCATGGGAATGGCGTATCTTGGAAGACGTTCTAAATATGTGGAACAAGATCCTAATATAGAAACAAAATAGAATAGAAACAAAATCTTACACTTAACCTGTAGGTCTCCCCCATCAGTATTCCTCTTTACATATGTGAGGTATGAACAGTTCCTCTCAGGACATGAGTATTAATTCTGCTGACTAAGAGGGAATCAAGGGTCAGCCCAGATCATATACACAGTACATATTCTGCTTCTCTTCCTTGGTTTAGTCACAGAGGTGACTATAATTCCCCCGGTGTTCCTTCTGTGTGGTAAATTTCTCATTCTGTGACATCCAGGAAGGATTTTCAAGTTAAGTGTGTGAGAGTTTACCCACAAAAATTTGTTTCCTCATGCAAGCATTAAAAGCAATGATAGAAATACAAAACCACTAGTCATATTTTACCATAAATCTGTCATACCTTCAAGAATTAAATGTGTCACACCCAGAGGCAAGCAGAAAGTCTGACATAACGAACAAAGAACGTTACAAACTGAAAATCGCCTGAGCCAAGGCAAGTACATAGACTTAATTTTAATCACCCACATGAGGCCTAGTGGTCTCATGTGTATGGGAGAGTTTCCAAAAGACAAGAGAGTGAAAAAGTATCTAGAGGTTAGTGTGAGGAATCAATGAGGCCTATCCTTGGAATATCAATGTTAGATTAATTTCTCCCAGATATGGTGGAAGCAGCTGTCACAGCTGCTTCTGTATAGACTACACCATGGTACTGAGATACTATGGTTTGGCTTTCCTGTAGACACGGAGAAAAGAGGCACAGTAATCAACACCTACCATGAACCAGTTTG